GAGAGTATATACGGGTATATTAAGATTGCTAGAAACATTCCAAAAACAAAAGAAATAATCGTGCGCCACCTTGTGGCGCACGCCGTCCGTTATGGGTTAAACGGCATTTACTACTGAAATTATCTAATGAAAGGGTTATGAACTTTAAGCAAGGGCACAAGGATTTTGAAGGAAGGAGCTATTTAATGGATGAACATTTGTTTTGTGAAAAAAAAAACATCTTCTCACACTGTATGGGAAAAGTTCGGGCACCCCGGAGTCGTTCTCTGACCCCAGGCTTTAGCAAAAATCATCCCCCTGGCTGGTCTTCTGTGCTCTCTACTAACATACCCCCACTCCTTAGGTAAACAGCGCTAAGAAAGATTTGACGTTTATTTTCTCACAATTTTCCAAACAATGGAAATGCTGCCGTAGGTCGGGCTGAGGTTTTCTATCGCTACTGGCTGTAATTATTCAATGAATTTGTCCTCCTAACCTCTAAGGGGGGGGGTTCGGGGTCCGTTTTCATCCGCTCTATACCGGTACTCATGCGCACATGACACAAACACATGAATAATCAAGTAAATAAATTAATAAATAATTGAATAAACACCTGACTGCATATTCAGTAAGTTTAGAGCAGCATTAGTTAGGATTTGACTGTTTCACGGCGATCTATCTTGTTTAGTAACGGCAGATTACCTCACGCATTACCGCGTTCACACAGACCGCTACAACAGCTGACTGTGTTTGTTCGATTTATTGCAGCAACTGACTCCTTGATAGCCATTTCAATTCAGTCACTGAAACGGCGCGTTGAAATTTTCCGCTTACAAGGAAGCTTGGATCATGAGATTTCAAATCTTTTGGTTTAGCCATGCAGTCAAAGAAAGAAGTGGTGCGGTGGTAACCACTCCCATGGTTAATGGGCAAATTCCCGATGGACCTGCCTCCAATGTTCAGGGTTGGTTACTCTGTAGAGACTGGTTTGGGAAGTGAACACTGAAGCTTACATCGGCTCGTCTATGAGCCAGATCCCACTTGAAGCATTATTACTCTGGAATAAGTTAAAATGCGTGGCGCATCTCAAGAAAGAAAGCGCTAGGTGATAACCCTTTCCTATTGAGCCAGATTCCAAAGGAGCTGTTCGATATTTGGGTCAACTTGACCTTTCTGCTACTTCGTCAATTAGTCATGCCGGCATTCCTAGATCAGCACCCTGCGAAGTCACTGCCTCAAGCCGACTGGTGACCTTACCAAGGACGTTTCCTACTGCTTTTTGTTAGTTACTTGAATGTTGTAAAGCCAATGCTGCCTAGAGCCATTTATCTAGGCGGCTTCCAGTAAAAGAGAAACGTTAAGTGGGCCAATTTCTTGGGACGGACTTCTAATGAGGGTTTTTATTTATTACTGATGACGTCACTCATGATTCGTGCTCTTTTTCATACCTTCTATGTCACCTTATCATTCAGCCAGCTTTTACAATAATTGCTTAATTAGGAGCTATTAGTTCCACGAAATCGAAACCTAAATTATCATTTCTGCAGCAAGGCGTACCTTGTTCGATACCGAAACATAAAGTTCTCATTTCTTTTTTTCGAAGCACAAGTACGGTCCAATTCAATGTGGCGAATAGGCTTCCTTTTGATTTTGACAAATACTGTAACAATTAGGAGTTAAATTAAACTAGTGGTGCTCTCCTGCGCTATTGTGTACAGAAACAATAGTGTGGTTCGCTAGTATGAAAAGCGACTTTTCCGCTCTTTCAAGCGCGTTTTTTTTCGCTGCAAGAACCCCAGGTCCACTCTTGGTCAGTGGTGGACCTGGGGTTCCCGCAGCGAAATATCTCGCTCCGCGCTGCAAAAAGCGGAAGTCAGCTTCTATTCTAGCGAACCATACCACAGAAGCAACACCTAATTAGTTGTACGATACTGTTCAGTGCAATAATGAGCAATTACACATCACTTGAATCGAATCAACACCTAGTTAAATCACATTTATTAACATAGCAAATACGATCTGATCTATATATACTATCGATTTTCTATACAGTTATCAACTTCAACACGTTGTGTAGGTAAATACATGAGAAACACGAGATAACAACAACAAAGTAGCATCCATTGTGAAGCTTCTTCAACATTTCAGACCACGTTTAGGTTAGAATGGAAATGATGAGTATCGATTATGCGCCAACAAAATCAATGACCATTGTAAAGTGCGCGCATTAAACGGTACGGGCTGAAGTGCGTAAGCAGCCTAACACCATTTGAAATGCACACCTAAAATCGAGGAGATACGAAATGTCGCCAGACTTCTTCATGGTTTGGAGAGCTTTAAAAATGTAATGGAACCGGTATTACCCGCATTAAAGCAGATTGAGAGAGGAGGAACGCAGACTTCGAGACTCTGGGGATCTATTCAATCACAGTAGGACACCATGCAGAATCGGAAGCATAGAGGAAGTCAGGGACAACACAAATGAACAGAAAAGGCCGACTAACTAAGCACTTCCTGTGGTTAAAAACGGTCATGGTCAGTTGAAAATATATATAGGTCACCATCACAAATCATTGGTTACGAGAACGACACAGCGACTCATGGTTATTCAACTATGAAACTAATTCTTCTTTACTGACAATTTATAGTCGATTCCAAACGAGCTGCGCAGCGATCGCGCGCGCATAGTCACAAAAGAGTATCGCTAATCGATAGTGACCCGCACGAAGTAGTTAACGAATAAGCTCGCTTGAAATCGACTTTATAATGCTCGCAGAAAATAGTCACCATACCCAGTGCACCAAGGGTTTGACATTTGGAACAGCTTCTTAATGATCAGCTGCCGTGAAGGCAATCAATTAACATGGCCCCATGGAAAGATCGCGGCGCCCGTCATTGCGTTGTGACAGACGATTACTTTCTGCGAGCACTGCATACACAAACTCTGCACGTATTCATGTAGAGAGCGATTTCGAATTCGGGAAACGTAAATCGACCGCAGCTTCTTTGGGTATTTTGCCGTTGAGTGGCGTCGGTCGTGCGTCCATCGGCGCGCCACCACTGGCGACGTCGCCTGCACCAGCACAAGGCAACGTCACGGTGTTTTTTGTTACGTCTGCTCGTCCACTTGACAGGACTGCTTGTAATGTACGACCAAGCGACTGTTTATTCAGCGTTGCCATTCGCCGAAAATCCATTGGTGCCGTCACTGTAGTCGCGTTGGGGAGCGTTGGTGGTGGTGGTGGCGCAGCATGATCGGGTGACTGTAAAGCGCAGAATCATTACAAGAACATATGTGTAGTACCAGAGATTTAAAAATAAGAAAATTTAGAACGATTTCGTAGGCTTACGGATGGTATAATATTTTCAATCAATAATGCTTTCTCTAAAATGCTACTTGGATTTCCTCTGGGATTGTAGACTACTAATGCATTGTTCGCAGTCTGTGTCTTGAGCGAATAGGCGAATCTTCGAGAAGAATTGTGGAAGTATCGCCTGTGGGAATCAGCGCACATGAGAACCGCGTAAGTAAAATGCCGGAGCATCAGCGAAAAGGTCAGATAGGTATCGACCCTTCAACCCCGCCTCATTGGGATCTGTGAGCCGCGGAAGCGGATTCCTCACTTTTTCAATTAATTCGTATCCAATACCTTAAGATGATCCACTCATTTCCGATTCTCTGAGGTCCTAGAGTGAGCCTCACGCCAAATTCAGCACATCTGACTGATAAGTGATAGGGTTCCGTTCAATATGAAGAGACACTACGGACATATTACAGGCAAAAATGAGGACTACGAGAGAAAAAAACGCATTACATTGCAAAAGCATGGCAAACCAAGCCTATAAACTCGCCGCGCAAGTAGTTCATCAGTGAACCCACAAAAGGAGAGCAAATATCCTCACCCCACTAATCAAATATAGTATAACAATTGTGCAATAATTTAATGAATATAACGGAAAGTTGATTGAGCGGTCATTTGTGACTCTATTACAACATATTTTGAACTTTTCACAAGAATGCTGGGTTGTGAACAAAACTTTCGCCCCAGGCGGGACTAGAACCCGCACCTCTCGCTTTCCGGGCAAGTGCGCTACCAGTTACGCTACCGGGGCACCATTTCATCCCAACTCAGCTTTTCATGGTATACGTACCATAAAAAGCTGAGTTGGGATGAAATGGTGCCCCGGTAGCGTAACTGGTAGCGCACTTGCCCGGAAAGCGAGAGGTGCGGGTTCTAGTCCCGCCTGGGGCGAAAGTTTTGTTCACAACCCAGCATTCTTGTGAAACATTCGCAAGGCGAACTGCGGCCAAAAACAGCAGTTAACAAACAAAAACAAGTCAATATTTTGAACTGTCCAAAGTAGATAAAAAAGACCATGCAAGAATCTGGCCGCGACCTGATAAAAGTATTTAAAAGAACTCTAATAGAATATTTTTTCGGCTGATAACGAAAAATCCTCCCGTGGAAATCTCTTTTCTTCATGAATATGGCAACTGAAAACGTAATTCCACCCAATTTTTATTCTCTCTTTAAACTACTGCATGAGATGGATTCTCATTGAAAATATCGAGCATGAACAGGGAATACTAGTAATGGCCGCACAGCGCAAAAAAAAACAGTTAATAATAACAATATTTAGGATATATCAATAAAAATAGCAAAGAAACTGAACTCTACTCACCGTAAAAGCACCAGTTCCCATTCTAGCAGCAGCCATGTCCATTCTTGGATCGAAATTCGCCGAAGTCGGTGGTGGTTGGGTTTCCTCCAGCTTTCGTGGAAGAATCGGCATTGCCCGAATATCTCCGCCCAAGGATTGTGGTAGAACAGTCTGCACAGATCGTAGATGGTCAGGTGTAATTGGTAGCGCTGGTGAATTATTCGGCTTCCCTTTAGACGTACTACTGTTGACAAAGCCATTCTGTGAGGAATTCGCTCTGGACGACTGCTTCTTTTCGGAAGGTTGTTGCCTAGCGTGACTTGTCATTGCGTCGAGCCTAGGTGGAGGCTCCAAACTTTTGGTGGTACTATTCATATAGAAGGGATATGATGGCATAGGATGCGGCTCATAGACAGAGGTTACTGCTTTTGGTCGTGATTCCATCGACATCGATGAGGCTTCTGGAAGAGGTGGCGGTTTCGGCTTCACATTTTTTTCCACCTTGGATGTCTTCGAACTCCCTTCCTGTGGTACGAATTGAACTGGCTGCAATGGTTGCAAATCCACATTTTTCGGAAGGGGTGGTGGTGCTGGTGGCGGCGGCTGCGATGGTGGAAGTGGCACAACTTGGTGAATGGGTTCTAACCGCGGCAGCACCGGTTGCGGGATTTGAGGCGGATTCGGAGCTTTTTGGATATCCGTGAACGATGAAGGCGATGGTTCTAGCGTTGGAGGTGGAACGACAGAAACCATTGGATCCTCTCGATGCAGCAGAGGAGGTTGATCAACGTTGTTATCGGTTCTGCATACGGATGCACATTGTTTTGGTGGTGAATTTTCCACGGTGTTTGAATTCTGAAATAAGACCAAGCAGTATGGGGAAGCTTAATATTCCTTGAAGATGAGGGAAGCCCTGGATGCCTATGCCAATTCCTTCCCGAGTAAAAGCAACCGAATGTAGAGCCGATTGACTACTACATGTTTTTGCTATAGGGAGGGCGTAGCTACGCAGTGGTGCAAAGCGAGTAGCACAGAATTCTATCTCCTAACGCCAGCAGACGAACATATGGTGCGATATTAAGTACTATATATTATATATCAGTTTCAGAAATCCCCACAGCGAGATAGAGGGAGCGCAAATGGTGTTACTGAGTGCAGCCGAGGCCGTAGAATGAAGAAAATTCAATTCATTGAGCAGAAAAACATTGAAAAGCCATGATATCCAATAAAAAAGGAGCGATAAAGGTGAACTAAAGCTCTGAAAACGTCCAAGTCCTACGCTTGGCTGACTGGTACAGCTCCCAACCACGTCAAAATTAGGTAGATAGCAACCAGGACGATTTCATAGTTGACTACGAAGTAAGTCGCAACAATCGCAGAAAGAATAAGGATGAATTTTCTCCGATCTCAAAAGCATTGGAAGTGGCATGGGCATCGGGAGGAAAGAAAAAAGTATGAAGACAAACACACCTGTGGTGGCTGGGTGTACGGCATCGAAATATGCATATTCGGAGGCGAACGATGAATAAACGGTGGCTGTGCGATGAACATCGGCCGAATCAGCGGACCGACAAGCATATTCGGCGCCAGTGGTGTCGGATGAGCAACAGTCGTCGGAGACTTCTCTGTGGGACTTTTCTTCGGATCGCTCAGCTTTCTACGTTTGCGCGGGGCGCACTGAGGAGTTATAATTGGAGCCGAATGACCATAGATATCCGTTGAAAGACTGACAGTTAGCGCTGGAACCACCGGAGAAACGAGCTGGACAGGTTGTAGTTGACCGGGCGGTTGAATCGTTGACGGCGCTTCTTGATGAACGGGTGCCTCCGGCATAAGACAGGGCATTGTTTCCGCGTCGAGAACTGGCGGCGCGTCATCGTTCACATTCGGAATGAGAGTGAAGAATAGCCGAAAAGGTCTTGTTCGATCAAAACCGCCGTCCAGCACCAACGTGCGCAAAGTAACGTCATCAGGAATATCCTGAACAAGGTGATTGAAAAACAGAATCAATCAAAGTAGTAGAAAAAACTCCTACCTGGAAATCCCTGTCGGAAATGAAGTGGACTGTGAATTGATCAGTGAGAAATAGCTTCGTTTCAAGAAGGCGGCGCACTATACGAATCGGCACCTTCGCTGCGCATCGAAAAAAGCGCCGAAATGACTGCTGAACTTCACGATGTTCGCGCATCTGCAAAGGAAAGAAGCTATAAAACACTATACTGATTCGACCAGACTATTCATCCTCAGAAGGGAAGCAAAACAATATAATTCAGGACATGTATCACTCCGCATTGCTCGTTGCTAGCAGATTCCTTGACTATGGCATCAGTTTAGCAACTCAAAATTATTGAAAAAAAAAGTTTTCAAAAACACTAGAACATGTTTAAGTTTCGTAGTAAATCGGGACGAGTGCTCTCAGTATATTCATTCAAAGCATCCTTCACTCGAATTTTCGCGATCTAGCTTATTGTCTTATTCGTTGCATTCCACGATTTTTGGGCACTGGTTTTTAGCATTGAAAAAATGTTAATGCACTTTGTATTTCATAGCCAGGCGAGTCCGCAATGCAAACTGAGCGACATATGCACGGCTATAGACAACGAATAGCATCAAAAATCATAAGTGACATTGATTTTATCGACGCCAAGCCTCAAGTGCTTGAGGTTCTGCAGAACAGTAGTGAGACACTGCCAAAGGCATCAAAAGTTCAATATAAAGCGGGATTTTTGATACACCAATAATTTTATTCCACTTCCAAAACTGAATTGGACTAACCTGGGTATGAGGGAGAAGGGAACACACACAAAGCAAACCAAGACAGTATTTCATACGAAATGCCGTAGCAGTAATCCTACTAAGTTAAAAAGAGATCGCTATCTCTCAGGTTACAAAATCATCAGCGAAGAACGAAAAACACAGGTTTAGCCCACACGGATAAGCGCGCGCCTTTAAACCCATGGCCGCCAGATCATCCCAGGTAAGATCCACAAATCAGCCACGACTAAGAAAACCATCAGCTAGATTTGTGGCTTAGCTTCGAGAAATGTATAAACCGCTTTCTACTCCTTGCTCAGGCATCATACTCTACGGAAAATAGCTCTTATCTTACTGTAGCACATCCTACCTTTTTCATCTTCTTCAATGGGGGCTCGGCCTTAGAGGACGATGAAGTAGAAGGGTTCGTAGACACAACCTCCTAAATGTTCAAGTTGGCACTCACTCTAAACCACTATGAAAAATAAAAATGGGATAAAGACGAGCGGCTCACAAACCTCATCAGGCTTTGCCACAGCTGGAGCCGGTACAAACTCCAAACAAATTGACAGAAGCTCGTCAGGATCACAAATTTCAGTGCTTGCTTGTGCCAGTTCTCTAAAACGGTTCTGCTAAAGAAGAAAATAAAATAAATAAATTCGAAAATAAAAAATGCTCGGTCATCAGCGTCCATTTGATCTATGGGAGGGTCTTTTTTATGTAGATATTTTTCCATAAAAAGCTATTGGTAACCACTCAACTTTACGCCGTGCAAAATTTCCGCTGATACTTTTATTACTAAAGTGATTCCTGGGTGATAAAATGGCCGAATATGTATAAAATCTAGAGCTATCACACATGTGGTCGATTGAAATCAATTCACGATGAAACACTGGATGTCGTTGGGGTGATGAAAGTAATACAAGATTAGATGACAGCTAATCGCAAAAGCCTTTCGGACTATGAGGCCTTACGTGGAATAACCTCCACGGCAGAGTGTACATTCATTTTCTTAATTAGGAAAGCCTCAGTGAATGTCACCGCAGTTTTAAGATAAGAGGTCACTCGAGTAAAAAGCAGATAAAAGGTTACAAGGCCTCCCAATGTGAAATTCTCAGAAGATATGAGAGATGACGTTGCCTTGGAGAGGTCTTCTCACCAAGCACAAGCTAACACGATACAAATATTAAAAATACAAAAAAGTGAGCACAAAGATTATACCTCTGCATTTTTCTGTTGTTGACATCCGTGTTTCCTTTGCTGCCTTTCTCAGCGTTTTCAAAAAACATCTGGGGCACAAATTTGTAAACGAGCATTTGCAAAGTAGAATCGCGGCGATATCCGTTCTGAAATCAAGAGCCGCATAAACGGCAAGAAAGTCCTAATGTCTCATAATAAGTGTAAAACCAAAGCGCGTAAAAATGAGCAATTTTAGACTTACTTTGTCTACATTTTTCTTGCATCCCTTTGTTGGACAAGTACCCGATACTGACAGATTTTTCAAGAGACATTCTTCGCAGACTGAAAGAAATCAAATGATACAGATGATTTATGACCAACATGTTCACGTCACAGCTTGCAAGCATTGTTCGAAATTTATGATAACCGGTTCAGTCTGTTGGATTTCAGGTAATCCCTATCAACCGCTAATGGTACATGCTAATTCTGCACGAAGAATAAACCAACCATAGAAAAAACCGAACCTAATTTCTTCAAACATTCATAACCTAGTATAAGAACAAAATTCATCCAAGCAGGTGAAATAGGACTCCAGGTCAAAACATTTGAACGAATGTCAAGAAACAATTACCAAGATTCGCCCTTTTAAGACCAACCTTGAGCTTTAACACATATTAATAATTGAAAACTCAATTGAAATAAAATAAAAATAAGGATGAAAGTGAAAATCACTCACAGCTGTGCATACATCCTGCCACAGTGACAGCATTGACGAGATATTCATTGCATAAGCCACATCTGAGGTTTGGACGCACTCATCGTCCACTCATCGTCCTCTAAATTGGAAATCTAATCAATAAAACAAAGTGTGACTTCATAAAACCTATTAATCCATGCTACTAGGGAGCACACTTCTTTGCCAACGATAAGCACTTTATGCTCTCACCCTCCTCACCAGACATCTCTAGTGATAAGAGGCATTTGGGAACGCTGATATGGAACGGATTCCAATACTTGGAAACACAGTAGCCAAAAATCTCGAACGAAAAGGGCTCTTATAGATGAAAAATGAGTCCAAAAGTCATCGCACTGATTTAGACACTCTCAACGCGGCTCGCAATCGTACGCATAGCTGTGAAAAAGCTCTTTAAATTACTTCACCCAGTAATCATCGAAATTTCGGCAAAGCAGAAACTTCAGCAATGTTTTCGATGGCGATGAAATGTTTCCGAATTTCACCAGTTCTTTTTTTGCCGTGGCAGGACACTACGTGGAGATTTGAGCACTCGAGAGCACCAAACCTACCAGGTACTGCGTACAATGAAATTAGGTACTGTTACTTTTTCGAAATCGATTGCAGTTTTAGACTAATTTCTCGCTAAAGAAGTTGAAAACTGTTGACAAAGACATGCCAAAGCAGAAATTATTTAATCACAACCTTTTCAGGGTGAAGTTAAGAAGTTTTTGTGAAGAAAGAACTCAAATTGCGGCTTTTTCACAGTTGGACTGCAAATTCTGTGATATTCTAAACTTGATTCCAGGGCGAAAAAACATGCAAATATTGAACCACACAGAAAAATCACTCACTAAAGGATGATTTTTGCGTACATTCGGTCTTCACAAGACTAGAAAATAGAGAAACCTGACATTCCCATGCTGTATTTGACAACGAATCTTAGCACAATGTCAAAAATTACATTTGTTCTCCCAAAAATCCATCCATTTGAAACAAAATTTACGCGCGCGCACTAAAACGATTTCAAAAAACGTGTCAGTGTACGCCTCAAGTCAAACTGCAGCTTTTGCAAAACATAAAAAGGCATAACGATACCTTTTATGATAAGTTCGGGTTGCACGGGTCTCGCGGATTGTCCCCGAAGGTGAAAACGCCTCAATATGGCGGCGCAGACTATGGTAGTAGCACCTTTTTTGAAGTTTCTCGTTGTATGGTGAATTACGGCTTCACATCGCGCCGATAAGTGTCCGAAATTACGACTTCACTCATGTTTCTCATCCATTTATTCAATTATTCCACTTATTCCCTTTGGTAGCGCTTTTCAAACGTCATACTGCTCGTGAATGCTCCTCTGGTGTGATTAGATTAGTAGCCGAGCCACTAGCGTCATAATTACGGTGGGTTTTGCCGGTCCGGGAAAAAGTTCCGGGCGCCTGTTGACCTCGATGAAGAACGAGCGCTCGGGCGGCGCCACCACTCACACACATACACATAGACACTCAGCCACAGACACACATATGCGCTCCAGAGCCAGCCAGCGCAGTGGGTCGCCGCGGCATACGGTATTAACGTCAATGTGAGCGCGCGCATGTGTAAGTAGTTGTTCGTTACACTACGACGACGGCGACGGCCAGCGGACTATTGAACACAAGAAAGCTGCGCTGAATCGAACTCACCAATAGGTCCTAGAGGAGGACGTTGAGCCAGGGCCGGGCGAATAGGAGGGGTCCTATAGGAGAACACCTGAAATTTGCCGTCATTCGTGCGAAATGTTTACAATTGCGGGCGTGGAAGTGAGCGCTGCAGCGCCAGCGACGAACACTGCTGCTCAGACAAAGAAACGCCCAACGACCAGCTGCTAATGAATAGGCAGATTTCATACGACGAAACACTGGATGTCGTTGGGGTGATGAAAGTAATACAAGATTAGATGACAGCTAATCGCAAAAGCCTTTCAGACTATGAGGCCTTACGTGGAATAACCTCCACGGCAGAGTGTACATTCATTTTCTTAA